AAATTTAAATACTATCAGACAATCATGACCATTTTATAGACTTTGGACGGTGATAATCGATTAAACGATTTGAAGTCTCAAAAGTGATCCAAATCAATTTTCACTATCAAAGGAAAACCACTTTGAGATGGACTTGGCTTCTAAAAACAGTTGTATGATGTGTACCAGTAATTCGGAAATAAGCCTGACAAAGAATTTGAAATGAAGTAGTTACACTACAAATTTTGCGCTCATCGTGGCTTTCAAAGGAGTACATTGATAAGATTCTAATAATATTAAGGATGGAGAACATAAAATATGTGGATACTTCTCTTGTAGCACATTTCAAACTCTCAGCAAAGTTATCTTTAATACAAATGCTGAAAGTGAATAGTATCATGTTTCCTAGTGTTGGGTGAGTGTGGTCATTAAAGGCCTTATGAGTACTTGTAATAAAACATTTTGATATAATGGAATATGAAGTCAATGGGAGTGTAGTCCCTCATAGACTATACTAAGCAAATAACATTTGCTGATACTGAACTGAGCTTTATGAACTAAGTCAGTTGGTTGGAAAAAACCTATGCTACCTGTACATAGAAAACTATCTGATAAGGGTTCTAATAAGTCATCTCTCTATGAGGTTGGAGTATGCTGGATGAGTGAGCCGAAGACTATGTGACCCTTGTGTGTGATGGTGGCCTTCAAAGACGGGGACCAAAGCTTCATTCAAGTAGCATCACACGGCATGCATATATGAAAGTCATTTCAGGAAAGCAAACCACTTTTTCAGGGTGAAGGTCATGTATGTGTGAGAGATACCCCAATATATCATAGGAGTTATGGTCACATCAGTTCTAGATGACATTCTAGGGGAGAACCTGAAATCCACAAATTGGGATTATGACCCATTGGCTCATCGGCCAGACTTTGGTGACCCACTGATGAGCCCATATATGGACTGTGGGTCATGGGAAATTCTGAGTCGATTTGATAAAGCAAGTGTGGTCCGTAGTCCACAGTTGAAGGTGGAGTGCCCCATTGTTTTATTGATTTAATTCCTAGACTATATGGAATATTTTTCCATCTAATGGATTTAATTATATATTTTTTATGGTATATATTATTTTAGGATTATTATTTGAATTTTTCTAGATCTCTGGATATTTTATTTATCAACTTTGGATTTATAAAATCAGATATATTGATTTTACATTGATTTAAATACTCAAATAAATTTTAAAATTCTTTTATTGAGTTTTAAAAATATTTGAAATTACATAAGGGCCCATTGTGCACATGGGCCCACCATGGCCTAAATGGTGGGGCCCATGAGATCCTCTCATGGGTGGCACGCCCCACCCATTTAGGGGCTTTCTATGTTTTGTGATAAGTGACTTTGGCTTGAAGGCCAAGTTGTTATGTGTTTTGGAAAGCTAATGGCTTAAGGAAGCTTTGAATGGATTTTTTGGAAAGCATGAGATGGCTTGTGCATTATTTTGATACGCACAATATTATATTTAAACTTATTTTATTTAATTTCTATTGATGCGAAAATGTTTTAGGAAAGGGGGGTCTATCTATAGAATTGAGGGCTCAAATCTCTCACCTCACAAGTCACCCAAGATCAATAATTCATGTTCAATCTCACAAGAAGAGGCAAGTCATGGAAAACCCTAATTATATTTTTGCACCATAAATAGATGACCACTTGCCCATAAAATCTCTACACCAAAATCTCTCTTCTCTCTTAATATTTCTCTCTCCTTGATAAATATAGGGGGCAAGCCCCAACCCTAGAAGTGCTCTCTCTCTCTCTCTCTAAACTATAGTAAGGGGCATGCCTCACCTCTTGAACTATCTCTCTCTCTAGGCTGACCTAAGGGGCACACCCCAACTAGATGGTGTTATCTATCTTCTCTCTAAATATTTCTCTCTCCTTGGTAAATATAAGGGGCATGCCCCAACCCTAGAAACGCTCTCTCTCTCTATTCTATAGTAAGGAGCACACCCAACCTAGATGGTGTTATCTCTCTCATCTTGCTTTGTTAAACCTAAGGGTTGGGTAGTAGTAAGTAGATGATATCTTACTTAAAATAGGTCTTGTGAGGCTTGTACCTAAGTTTTGTGATCAGAGGAGTTCATAGTTCTTTAAACTTAATTATAGTAGCAACCACCCACACAAATATTGATGTTCTTTTATAGGAGAGTCCTCTTGGATCTTTAAAGTTGCGACAGTGAAATCATTAATCGTCTTCTCCCATGAACATAGTTATAACAGTGACCATCCACACAAATATTGATGTTCTTCTATGTTGCTACTATGACTTTCCAACCTATTTACCTTGAGTGATGGTTATTTTGTATCTCCTTTTCTTTCGTTTTACATTGTCATGGATCTTCCGGTTGGGGTTTTGCAAAACAATGTAATGATCGATGAGCAACAAAGAAAATAATCACATGTGTGCTCAAATGTGTGCACGTGGACAAGTGTGAACGAATGAGCATATGTATGTATCTCGATCTACATGCAATATTTAGACACTATAATTATGTTTGTCTTTGTTTATTTTAACAGTTCCGCAAGGAAGGGATCTCCACCCGTGGTAAGAATGAAACTCAAAACACCAAACTGGTTGTGCACCACTCTACTACTTAACCTTGGTCCCCTCCTAAGAAAGGAAAGTAAGAATTTAACAAACCTTTCCAAATAAGATAAAAAATAATAATACGAGTTATGCCGTGGTTTAAAGTAACATACGGTGAAGTGCACACTTGTTTTTGTTTATGATTAATAATACACTAAATACGCTCCAAATAGGTAGGATCAATCTTTTCCATTAAAAATCATATCCAATAAAAAAAAAGAGAAAATTGAGGAAACCCACCCCTCGAGGGTATAAATAGATGTTATATATGGATGACTCTATGGTATGCAAGGGATAAGTTTGCGTGCTTCTTTCCAGAGATGGTGCTCAAAGCAAGTCTTACACGTGCCACCGGATCATTTCAAAAGCCTGGGATTCCTGTGGTCCATACCAAAGCATCTCTTCCCCTACCAATCATGGTAAATAATTTTTTTGAAGTCTCTCTCTCTGCCATACACATGCGGTGCAGTTTTAACCATAGCTATCCAGATTTGAGCACGGGTCCGATCAATCAGACTACCAACTGATATCTTGGCTAATATGGTACAAAATAAAAAATATTTGGTCAAAAACTGATCAAAACATTGTTTGATCGATAAACTGGTCAACTTTAGTATGATTAATTTTGGCCAATTCGACAGGCCTTGACTGGTTGAGAAGGTTGAGCAATTTATTTTTGTAAAAATATTGTTTTTAAGCAATTTTTCTGATCCGACCAAATCAACCAGACGTGATTCTCGTAACACTAGTTTTAATCGTGCAAAAGGATTTCACGTCATTATAAAAACATATTGTCCATTTACTCTCTTAGGCAAAAAATCGACTTAGGAGAACTTAAGGGACCCCAAACTTTGGGGATATAACACCGTAAACCTAGCAACTAACCTCAAACAAAACCAAAAAAAAAAAATTGCACACTCTGATAGATACTATGTGCCTAATATATGTATCATCGCAAGTTTGAGGGGAGACCATTCAACTTTTGGAGGGCAAGCTCTAGTGTTTAAGAACTCAAATTTTAATTTTTATTTTTTTGAAAATAAACATTTAGGAATTCTTAGATGAATTTAAAATTTTAAAATTAAAATAAAAGAAAATAGAGAAAAAAAATGAAAACGAACGAAAAAAAGAAAAATGTTCCTACTAGCTTTTTTTTCGCCCATGCGAGTGAGTATACATTGTGCTCCTCAGGTGCACGGTATTTGCTTTCTTTGACTGTTTTGTTGTCGCCTCACATTTACATACCAAAAAGAGAGATAAATGTGAGTCGTTTGCATTTGGGTGAGGTTTGTATTAGGTGAATTCCTAATATTATACAAGAAAGAGCGCAAATCTAATTTTTTCTGGAAGATATATTTCTGACATCAAACTTTACAATGACTTGAAAATAATGTTCAACTCTTATTATAGAATTTAAAATTGTAAAAAAATGCAGATCCAGCAGATCTATAAATATTTGAAAATCTTAAAACTAGATGGTCTAGAAATGCACTACTTTTAGAACTTAAAATTTTATCTTTTTATATCCATACATCTCGATGTCAAGATGATAAATTGAAGGTTTTCCAACATCTAAATGCTATTTTCTACTAGTTTTTTGAAGTGCAATTTACTTCTATAGTATAAGATGTTAGATTTGGTGGTATCCAAAATTACCTACATAAGAAAATCACATATTTTGTGGGATTGATTGAGATTGGTCCATATTATGTTGGATTGAGATAATATGATTTTATGTGGGCTTGATATTCCCAAATTATGTGGGATTGAGATATTTTCTTATTTTTCAAGTTTTATTTCTCATACTTTATTTGACAAGTATTATTAACCCATCGAGTTTAGAGCTTCCGCTTATAACAAGTGGTATTAGAGCCCTGGTTTGGGGTTTTCGGTATGGCAGTAAAGTTTTCAAATGCAAAGTTCGAGGTGAAGAAATTTGATTGAAACACTATTTTTCAGCAAGAATGATGAAGAAATTTATTTGGCAAAAGATGAATAATTTGTGAAACTATCCAATGTATATTGGTAAAGTGAGCAGGTGAATTTTTTATTTTTTATTTTTTTTTGGGTAATTCAGTTGGGATGACGAGTCCCTACCTGTTTTTTTAAATCATTAGTGTTTTTTAATACGTTAGATGATAATAGAAATCTAGACCTTAGCTTGGGTACCAGTGGTGCTACACCACGACCCCAACCTCAAGGTGGAGATTGTTGGATTTGGTGCTATCCAAAATCACCCACATAAAAAAATCTCATATTTTGTGGGATTGATTGAGATTGATGCATATTATGTGGGATTGAAAGTTTCGTTTGATCTCAAAGTTCTCTTCCTAGACAGTGGTCGAGTTATGAAATAGAGATGGGAAATCGCCAATGGTGTCGTTTGGGAGAACAGGTTTAAAAGAGTTTTCTGGACTTGGTTTTATCGATGTTAGAGAGGTAACTCCATTGGTATGGTAGATTTCAGTTTCCCATACCCATAGATATAGCCCTTATAGGGTGAACCACATAAATATTTGTGTTGTTGTTGTATGTGTTTCATATTTTATTTCTTACACTCTTTTTGCCAAATATTTACCGATCCAGTTTTAAGCTTCCTTATATAAACGTTTTCTCTTACATAGCCCTTCTACAAAGAATGGCCACAAGTTCCTCTAAAGGCTCAAGTTTCAAAAACCATCAAAAGAGTTACTACTTCCCTGTTGGATGTTTTAGTGGACACTTTGTTCCATTTCGAGGCACAACCCATGCTAGTCCAGGTAAATTTAATATATTTTCATTTTTCCAGTTTTAGTAGCAGGCCCATTATATTTTGAACCATATTAAATTAAGGAAACATACATCTCATATTGATTGTTTTCCTTAAAAATCTTGTGAATATACCTTTTTGTAGTGCAACAATAAATGAAATAATTTACTATATTTTGAACAAATTTCAGGGTAACTTTGCCCCTGTAGAAGAAATAGGGGAGGCAGTCAAAATTTCATGCATTGAAGGAGAGATTCCAATGGGCTTCCCTGAGGGGGTTTACATCAGAAATGGTACGTAGCAGTGGTTTAAAACAATGACTCGGTTCAGGTCTTGCCAAGGTCTTGAGCCTGAGTCAGGAAACTCGGACTCGGTCGAGTCCTACAAAAACAATACAAATATTGTAAACTGCTAGCTCTGTCAGTCCCGAGGTTTGGTTCCTGACTCAGGCAGCCTGCTCAGTAACTTGGATATATCCAAGTTGGTCTCGCCGAGTTCTGGTTCACTATTATGTGTTCATCATGCAGCTATAGTATTGAAGTTTTAGCAACTTGATTCCAATTCTGACATGGAGAATTTTGTTTTTGAATTGTGACGGGTTCACCATAGGTGGAAACTTTTTGTTTGGACAAAACACAGCAACTGTTTCAATCTTTGGGAGATCAAGTTTTGTTTGGGTCGAAGGTGAAGGAATGCTCCATGCCATGTACTTTAACAAGGACTACAAAGGAACCTGGTGCATCTCATACAAAAATAAATACGTCGAGTCGGATTCTTTTAAAATAGAGAAAGCAAGAAACAGGCCTACGTTTCTTCCAGCAACGCTAGGTTATTCTCCAGCAGTTTTAATGGGCGCACTTCTAAATCAGGCAAGCCAAATATTTCTTCTAGTGCAAAGATAAGAATAGAGATTCAATTTCCAGCACTGACATAAATCGATATACATTATCCTTTTTTCATTTTTCTGACAGATGAGATTTGGCATGATAAACAAAGACTTGACCAACACTAGTGTGTTTGAACATGGTGGAAGGGTTTTTGCAATTGCAGAGAATCACCTGCCCTACGAAATCGAGCTTTCAGACTTGAACACATTGAATACTTGGGACATTAATGGAGCATGGGATCGTCCTTTCACCAGTCATCCAAAGGTTTGTTTTTTATGGAATCTTAATTTGCCGAAGTTCTTGCTCAGGCAATGAACTCTAGTTAATGACTGTGATTATTATAATTCTTATTTGGAGTTTGTCGGTACCAGAGAGATCCACTAACAGGAGAAATGGTGATCATGGGTGTTGACGCAAAGAAGCCATATTATGTTATAGGTGTAATATCAGGTACCTTTTGAAATGTTAACTGTAGTAAACCTTTGGAAGGATCATGCTAAGATTTCATCACGCCTATCACATAAACTATAACTTCAATCAGTTATATTTCTTTCATGTCTTATGCTCTTGATTTCAACTAAGAATCCACAACCAAGTGCAACCATACTAATAAGTAATTCGTAATCAATACAAGTTTGTTTTGCCTTGGTTATCACCTCTTTCCTTTTCATCTTTGGGTCTAGCTGATGGAAAGAATCTGGTGCATAAAGCTGACCTGAAGTTCGAACGGAACTCGTTCCCCCATGAGCTTGGCATCACAAAGAAGTGAGTTCAAATCACATCATCTGTATTCTGCATCGTATTGCTTTTCAGATATTAATATGGCTTTTGTCATATGGTTTTCAGTTTCAATGTTATTATGGATTATCCATTCACCTTTGATAGAAGAAGACTCATTAATGGAGGGCCGTAAGTATTTCTTTAAAGCATTAATCATACAAAACCAATGAAACTGTTACAAAACCAATGAAACTTTGTATTATTCAACAGTATGCTTAAAATTCAGGTTTCTAAAGTTTGAGCATGATCAACCTGCGAGAATCGGAGTGATGCCAAGGTATGGGGATGCAGCATCCATTGCTTGGTTCGACGTACAAACACATTGCTCTTTTCATATCATAAACTCCTTTGAGGATGGAGATGAGGTGAGCTCCAAAGGATATATGGATGTCACAAATCAGGAAGTTCTGTTTCCAAACCTATGAAAACATTTGGTTACCCTCCATGACCATCTAAAAATTGGTGTTCCCTCACTTCAAGGAACCACTTTGAAGGGCGTGAGAGTCCCTAAGGGCTTCAAATCCGTCTCCTCTTAATAAGATTTGATTTTCAGCACCAGAAAACCTGTAGATCTCCATTACCACAGTTCTTGGGATGCATTAGATTTGGAGCATTTTGGAATGCCAAATCTTCCCTTCTTTCTTTTTTATTGAGACCATTTTTGGAATGGAGTTGATTGATTTAGCTTGTTGTAAGAGGATGAATATGACTTTTTTAGCATGAATTCTAGGTTGTCATAAGAGGTTGTCGTGCAAATGGAGCGGTTTTTCCTGGTCCAGATCTTGGTATCAACATACATGAATGGTATTCTAGAGCATTTTCACCTATCAGAAAAGATGCAGAAGGATTTGATCCTTCAATCGACAGTATATTACTGACACGTGCTTATGAATGGAGATTAAACATGAAAAATGGTTCAGTAACAGAGGGATATCTTACCTCACCTGAAGTCTCCATGGATTTTCCAGTGATCAATGACAATTTTGTGTGTACAAAGAATAAGTATGCATACACCCAAGTTGTGGACTCGGCAGAAAGTTCTAAAATCGGTAAGAAACACTTTGCATATCAATGAGTGTTATTAAGTATAGATTGCAGCAAATTTGTTCCTTTTTACCCATTTCATTTCTGCATTCAGGTCTTGCAAAATATAATATGTTCGCAAAGTTACATTTTGAAGAATTGGGGGCTAGCCATCTTCAGGTAGATCAGGCTCACCATGTAGGAGTCCTCTTATCCTTGTTTCACATGATGTTTTATCATAAAAATTAACATAATTTTTTAATGATTTTACAGAAAGGTGGGAAGAAAAGAATAAAAGTTGAATATCACAGGCTTGAGAAGAATGAATTCTGCGATGGAGTTGTATTTGTTGCAAGACCAGGAAGCACAGAGGAAGATGATGGTTGGATACTTTGTTTCATTCACAATGAGAACACTAATACTTCCCATGTAATTTGGTTCATATCTTTCTGTGCTTTTGTCCCCTCTCTTTTATTTTTCTGTGTTTGCTTTCTAGGTTGAAAGAATGGTCTTGGAAGGTTTGGCATGTCTCCTACACATGATCGGGTTGTATGCTCCTAACCAAAACAAGAACTGAACATCCAATAGGTGCAGTCGTTGCTTCAAAGCAAGGACTCCAATTGCGATTGCCAGGGCCTTAGCTCGAGTCAGAAACTTGACTCAGCTGAGTCTCAAGGAGACTCGGTTAAGTCTTTAAAAATATATATTTAAAATAAAATCATGGGAACCAACGAGACTTGGCTGGTTCCCATGGTTGTGGTTCGAGACTCAGCCTACCGAATCAGAGTAACTCGCGAGTTTAATTCAAACTCGTCAAGTTTTCAAATACTAGATGTCGTAGGAGGCGTGGCAATTAGGTCGGTCGACCCACTAACCCAACAGGTCTACCTGACACGGGTTTGGGTCTTGACCCAAACATTGAACCTGGTGGGTCGTGTCCAAGTCCAAATAACGTCAATTGGTCAACCCGACTTGGTTGGGCCTAGGTTTGGATAGATCCTAGACCGTACAAGTAGGGACAGGACTGGATCAATGTCTAGGTCTAGGTGCATCATGGACCTTATCGACCCTACTTGATATTTACCTATAACATTTTTTTGGGTGAAAAAATTCTACACAAAATTATTTCAATGTCATGAAGTACTTTATAATAAAATTTATTCCTTTCTCTTTCTGTTCTCTAGACCCAGACCAGATCCAATAACCTGGACCCAACATGGGTTCTATGTCCATCTCGGACCTAGTCAAGATGAGTCAGGGTCGGGGTGACCCAGGTCCAACCCGACCCATTAGGAGTCCTATGTAGGTAGCCCTGACCTTTTTCATGAAATGCAGGTACATATGATCGATGCTAAAAAATTTGAAGGAGCACCTGTTGCCAAAATAAAAATACCACATAGAGTGCCTTACGGTTTTCATGGCTCTTTCCTCAAAGAACCAAGAGCATCTAGTCAAATGCCATGCCTCCTCTAAAGAACCGAGCCAACTCTTTTATTTTCTCTTATTTCTTTTTTTTTTTCTTGTTTTAGGGGTAGTTCAGCTTTGGATGTATTATGATGTTCAAATACTTCAAGCATGGATTTCTTTTAAATGTGAGAGTATGGCTATATAATCAATCGAGCACGTATACTATGCTCTATCGGGATTATAGTTTATTTCCACTCTCTCTGCCAGACAATTTACTTGGGAGGATTTTTTCAATTTGAAATTTTGGTAATCACTTTAGAACACTAGATACTTATTCTCAAAAAAAAAGAATGAAATTTAAGTTTTCAACGCTTTGATTTCACCCTCTAAAAATTAAACAGTACATTATCCTTTTCAAATGCTTAGAGGATGCAATTAGAAGAAAAAAAGTTAGAGGTAAATCCATGTATTAAAGATGTTATGTCCTGAAAATTTTGGGGTCCTAAAACCAAGTGGGGTTTACCGAGGGAGTAAATGGACAATATATATTCGCAAGGGAGTAGAATATTTTTTGGATAATTAATTTAGTTCAAATTAAAATATTTTATGAGCTGCTAATTTCAATGATTGTCATTTTTAAAAAAGAAAAATTATCAAAATACCCATAGTAGATGCCCACTAACACTTTCTCCAAGTGCAACCATTCTAACTCATGCTTATGTGTTATTTGATGGGGTTTTGGAACTAAGTTAAAAGCCACGAGTCACATATTAAATAGTGTAATCTCTCATCGGTATTTGGATAAATTTCTCTTTAAAAAAATTGGCCTAGTGTAGGTTACGGCCGTTGTAGAAAAAAACGAAAGTTCATTCATAAACCAATTATTTTCTTAAGCCCGATGTAGCAACACATCCTGTACACAATCTAGAATACACTTACCATACACCATCCGTACTCACCAACTGATGGTGGAGATGTAATGCTACTTACTTCTATGTCAGACATATTTAGTCAGCCGATCGGCGACTTACATGCACTATCCATTGATAAGTATGGATGGTGGATGGCTGATCTATTCACCCCGCATTACACCCGTGGTGAGTATAATATGATCCCTTGCTTTGTAGGAAAAATAAGAGTATAATATGATCCCTTGCTTTGTAGGAAAAATAATAAAACCCCTTACAAAAGGGTCAAAACATCCCACTTACTACTGAAAAGTAATAAAACCACTTACTACTGAAAAATAATAAAACCCCTTACAAAAGGGTCAAAACATCCCACTTACTATTTGGGAGTATCCTTTTTAATTTCCATTGCAATCAAATACCTCCTTAAACAATATCTTAAAGTGGAAATTACTAAAAACACCCTAAATTGCATTTTCCAAACACTTTAACCCCACCCCAATTCTTCTCACTTCTTTTTGATAAAAACCATATTTTCTATCTAATACCCCCCAATTGAAAAAGGTATATTTTGTTTAATAAAAATACCCCTTCCCGTATCTTAAACGTACGACCAAATCCTTCGGACGAACCCCAATAAACCATTCACCGGACTAAGATTCTAAACTACCGGAGTGCTTATTAGACAACAATATGCCTAATCGAATATCTAAAACATCAGACTGAACTCACTCTAGTAGTAATGTTACCGGAGTTATATTGCAAATCATCAGTCTGCACATTAAGCAAATTGCCAAACCGCTCAAAGACATGATCGGACTGACCTCCAGGAGCGTAATTGCCGGATTGAAGCTCCAAAACTCCGAACTATTTGACATGGCCATATTCAACTATGTCGGACAACTTCAGTGTATTCGTCGGAGTGCCTATGTTTCTAGGAAGTACATCGCCGGGGTGATGCGGTGAATCGTCGGACTGCAAAATTTCCAGGGAGGAAACTGCCGGTTCGATGATCTTCACATGCCGGAGCGCTCTTCACAAGTGCCGAAGTTGTTATTTAACGGTGAACTACCCACCAGAGCGAGTTCGCTAAATGCCGGAGTGCATTCGAATGGTGCCAAAGTGCCTATTTTACAGTCAACTATTCGCCGAAGCGAGTTCATCAATTGCCGGAGTGAATTCTAAAGATGCCAGAGCACATTTTACAGGTGCCGGACTGCTAGTTAACAGTGAACTATTTTCCAGAGTGCATTCCATACGTACCGGAGTGTAAAATTGGTAGGTTAAAAGAGATGGCAAACTTGTCTTTTTTTCAATTTTTTTGAGATTGGGGGTATTAGTTATAAAAGTTAAATTTTGAGAAATTTTAATGAAGAAAAATTAAGGTGGGAGTAAAGTGTTTAGAAAGTACAATTTTGAGGTGTTTATAGTAATTTTCCCTAACTTAAAAATACTCGATTGTGCGTGTAGGATTAAAAACCTAAACAAGTAGAGGTATAATCACTTAATCCATCTAAGAAGCCCTAATAAAATGCCAAAAGTATCCTGTATTTGTTTAAAGTAAGTCAAATTATTGAAATGCCTTTTATTGTTTAGGGTTATTAACCATGAAAAATCGCAATTTGGGTTTTTTTAGATATCTTTGAGGAGGTGCCTAAGTAATAATGGTGACAATAGGTTGGGCTTGGGCCGTGTCAACCTAGCCGAGGTTGACCTCGGTCTTTATAGGAGCCTAATAGATTCAAGATGAGGAAGAGAAAGGAATTAAAACATAGGGCCGACCCAATCCAACCATGTTCTAGCCCTACCTCGGCCCGAGCAAAAACTGAAAAAATGCGCAGAGAAAATTGATTTCCTGCTCTCTCTCTCTCTCTCTCTCCCAATTCAAAAAAGCTTAGCAGTTTTTGCTCAACCAACTCAAGAAATTTAGAGAAAGAGTTTTGATTTTTTTATTTTATATATTTTTTTAATTGGTGTTATTTGAGTTTTTGTTTGTTTAGGGTTATTTTTGTATTTCTTTGTTGTAGTGATTTTAGGGAGGTTCGCTTTTTTTAAAGAAAAATAAATCTTAAGCTTGGTATAAGTTATTTATTTTAAGAAGCCTATCTATTGTATGGATTAATATGGAATAGATTAAGATCTTTATCAAGTGCGTTGCAAATCCTAAAGATAATAAATGTTCCTTGGAAAAAAGAAGTTTTTTTTTTTCTCTGGGTAGTGGAATGTTATAT